TGCTGGTGCTCTTTTGCTCTGTGCTGATAGGACAGGGTCAACATGAAGGACAGGAGTGGAAGTGTGTTATCTGCGAGGGCCACGGAGGGCAACAGTCTCTGTACGAAGATAGACAGCCCAGAAAGAGATATTTGACTCAAACACAGATAGCATTGGGAGGTGAATCCGGGAGGCGAGGTCTGGATCGAAGCAAAGCTTGTCTTCACAAGGGTGATGTAATGTTTTGGAATTGACTTTCTCAGTGTTGGGGATTTGTAAAGAAGTCTGAGAGGGCATGCAGGAGGGGCAGAGCGGTCTGCAACAGATCAACATGAAAATAAACTCAGTTTGTACGCTTTCTGGACAAGATGTGAGGTGAGCTTTATTGTGCAAAACTCACCGCCTTGATGTTAGAGTGATGTGGGTCATTGCTAAGAGTTTTGGGTGATTGCTAGTTGAGTTCACATCCAATTCACTGATATTCTGCTGTCTAATTAGGGTTCCTCCTATTGGATGTTTTCATCTACTGTTTTGTTCACCAGATTAAAATTATTTACTTTATTATTTATGCATTTGGAAGATGCTTTTATCCAAATAATAAATATGAATGCTTAAAGGAATATTTCACCCAAAAATGAAAATTTGCTGACATTTTACTCATCCTCTGGCCATCCAAGATATTGATGAGCTTGTTTCTTCATCAGAACAGATTTGGAGAAATGTAGCATTCCATCACTTGTTCACTAATGGATGCTCTGCAGTGAATGGGTGCCATCAGAATGAGAGTCCAAACAGCTGATAAAAACATCACAGTAATCTACAAGTAATCCACACCACTCCAGTCCATCAATTAACATCTTGTGAAGTGAAAACCTGCATGTTTGTACAAATCCACCATCAAACATTTTAACTTAAAACTGTCACTTCTTTTCAAAATACTAGTCCATAATCTATAATAATGGTTCCTCCAGTGAAAAAAGTTCATCTCCTGTTGTCCTCTCACATCAAAATCCACTGACATATTTGCTTAGGACTGTTTTCACTTGTAAACAGTACTTGATATGTGCATATTTCTCTCCTGATTCAGACAAGACAAATTTTCAATGGAGAAAGCAGTATTATGGATGGAGGACTTGTATTTTACCTGGAATCAGCGGTTTGAAGTTAAAAATGTCTTGATGAATTTATTTCTTATAAACACACAGCTTTTCACTTCACAAGATGTTAATTGATGGTCTGGAGTGGTGTGGATTACTTGTGGATTATTGTGATGTTTTTATCAGCTGTTTGGACTCTCATTCTGACGGCACCCATTCACTGCAGAGCATCCATTGGTGAGTAATGATGATATAATGCTAAATTTCTCCAAATCTGTTCTGATGAAGAAACAACCCTTACGGAACAAAATATATGAGAATATACTGCAAAATATAATGTGATATATTGCATAATACATTTCCATATATGGGAAACTAGTGCTTATATTTTTCACTATACTGCAATATATGCATTGACCATGCATGGCGATATATTGATACATACAAAAGTATTTAGAAATGAAGACAAAAATAGCATTACATGTAATATCCATAAAGTTGTATTCTTCATTGTGCACATATATTGCACACCCATATAAATGTGAATGTATGTACACACATATATACACACATTCACAGAATGAGTTTTTAGTTCACAGCATGCTTTGCTTCTGACTGTTATAGGAAAGTAAATCTTAAAATTAAGTGTTAGTTCATGTGTTTTGCTCAGTATTAATATAGGGGGAGATCTGTTAGTGTGCAATATTTAATTATTTTGGAATTTGGGGTTTCTGGTATGTCTGAGTTTTTGGGGTTACCATTGTGCTGAAGAGTAGAGCCTGTGGTTAGGTTGACGACTGGCCTAACACCAGTAAGACTATATATTACTTTATTTTAAAATGAATGGCTGTGCACTCTTTAGCACGTTGATAGTCTCTTTGCTAAATACTTTAGTACATGCAGGTTTTGCCTGTAGAGTCTTGCCAAAATTAACAGCACCTCTCCTCAGGTACAGAATCATTCATGTATGTAGCACAAATGTTGATGGACGACTTGCATCGCAAAGTTGAATACTTAGTTTAAGTGGTTCGGTTAGATAACTAACTATACTGTATGTATGAGCGAGACTAATCATGATGCATGATTTAGCAACGCCACTAATTATTTGTGCAATATTATGTTTAAATGGTCATTCTGCATGCATTACATAACTGGGCAGCTGGCTAAAACTAAAGATAGATATGTGTGTTTGCATGCAACATCCAGACAACCGGTCGACTGCTAACACGCATAGTCAGAAGATTAAAATGTGCTTAAATGAAGAGGAAATTTTGCTGGTTAATAATGCACATTTTTGTTAAAAATGCATGCAGAGCTGTGATGAAAGATGCATGTCACCTTTGAACGACTCAGCAGGCGTCAGCCTCATAGATCTTGTGGTATTTAGCTCAGGGGAATCGGTATGCATTAGAAACCCCAATAAGGGGATTTTTTCCTGTCAATTTTCACTGAATTCCATCACGCCTGGCACAAAGACAGTATGCTGAAAGTAAGAGAGCAGTCTGCTGACTTTTACACTTTAACTGCAGGGAAAGAGAAGGTGGTGCTATTTTTGTGTGCAAAGAAGTCAAACTACACCACAACATCTATTTACCTGCTAAACGTATTTTCCCTCGGTGTGCTGCATATCTAAATGTGATTTTGAAATGGCAGTTTGCACAGTGTGACATGGCTTTACAAAATTCTAAAATGCAAAGTCAGGTGTTTTTAAATAATGTATGTAAGCAATATATAAAGTCATTCACATGTTATGTGTGGTGTGTAAGACTTCACTACTCCTATTTGAATATATTTAAAATGCAATTTATTCCTGTGATGCAAAGCTGTATTTTCAGCATCATTCCTCCAGTCTTCAGTGTCACATGATCCTTCAGAAATCATTCTAATATGCTGATTTGATGATCAAGAAATATTTCTTATTATTGTCAGTGTCGAAATCAGTTGTGCTGCGTGTCTGTGTTTGAAATAGATATCTTTGTAACATTATAAATGTCTTTACTGTCACTTTTGATCAATTTAATGCATCCTTGCTGAATAAAAGTATTCATTTCTTTTTTTTAAATCCTACTGATCCCAAACTTTTGACTGTGAGTGTAGATGTTCAAAGAGCTATATGCTGCATCTTTTAAGTTGTATTGCTTTGTTTGTGTTTCATCCATAATAACTCCTTATTCTCTTGCAGGTCTCATGTGAAGTACCTCTCGTTGGCTCTTAAAGGGAGAGGCCGTGTGTTTGACCCGCCGACACTGCTCCTGTTGCGCCAGGTCGACATCTGATAGCATGATGACAATAAATGACCATGTGGATCACTGAAAACTCGAATAAACTCTTATTCCATCCAGCAGACTCGAGTTTTCATTTTTCACTGTTATTGCCACAGTGTCGTCGCAGACATTGCTTTGAGCCACATATTTCCTGTAGCACTATCAGATATGCTCTAATCTTAAAGATATAGCACACCCAAAAATGAAACTTCTTTCATCATCCACTCACTCTCTTGTTGCACTCTCTTGTCTCTTTTTTCCTTTTCGGTGCAACACAAAAGGAACAAAGTGTCTAGACTGTTCTTTTCTGTACAATGGGATGACGGTCTGTCGAGCTAAAAAAAATGACACATAAAAGCACCATTAAAGTATCCATATGCCATATTCTAAGTCATACGATAGCTTTGTGTGAGGAACAGACTGAAATTGAAATCGTTGTCCGTTTGTTCGTTCTCCTTTTGTGTTGCATGTATGAAAAAAAAAAACGATACGAGAGTCAGCCAATTAAATATGTGGCTGGTTATCAAGTCAAATTGATTGTCGCCTTACTGTTTTATTCACGCTTGCGCAGCTGTAACATATTGCATTTTGAATAAACCAGATGAACAATCTTTGCAATATTCCCACAATCCTTTGCACAAACCCAGATGGGAACGGATTGCGGTGCCAATATGATGAGAAGTTAGCAGTTGCAGACCATTATCCCTCAATATATAACAAAGACGGCAATAGATTCGCATGCTACACAGAGCAGATGCATAACAGCGAAGACTTGACACATCGGACAGGTCATGATGCAACCGTTACTTTGGGACAAGGAAGCCATCACGCCTTGGGCAGATTGGCAGTGCTAATAATCATCACAACATGACAATGCCAATGCAGAATATCAAAGAAAACAGCTAATTTAGACATAATTTGCATGCTTAGAAACAGCCTTCATGTGCAAGAAAACATTTACCTTTTAAAATCAAATGAAGCATTGTCGTGTCTCTTACCTCGTCGTATAATTGGTCTGTCAAGCATAGCTGGAGTCTGCAATAGCGAAACCAGGATACAGGATTCCTGGTATGTCTATAACGGTTATGTAACTTTTTATATAACTGCATTTAAACAAGCACACCGTTATTAGCGAGGCAGTACCTGAGCCCTCGGCCCCTCGGAGCCTTTGATCCTTTATGGAGGTTCAAATCAAGCTCTTGTAATCTCTTTGAAGATAACCACGTAACCTTCAGATCTCACCAATTTCAATGGAATGCAAAACTGGGGTCCAACGCATTCAGATTCTGGCAAACTGACAAAATCTGTGCCTGGTTTCTATGGCAACTTCACACACACTCAATGACATGTTTGGTCATAGTGTCATACGTGCCCAGAATAAATTGAGCATGTTTAAGGTGATTTTCAATGGAATACTCAGATTGCAACTCAGTATGCATTGGGACAGCCATAAGTGAGGCATTTGTTGGTCGATCCACCATTAAAGTGTGAATAATTCACTCTGAACATCTGTTTGGCTGACCAGTGGCAGAAATATGAAAACAATAATTATTTTTGCAATTATGTTTGGTGGCACAGAAATAACGTGCCTCAGCTTTAGATGTAAATTAAGTAAAATTACAATTAAGTAATTGTGTGATTTTTGTGTTTTGTGTTGCAGGTGAGGTGCCTTTAAACTCTGGACCAAACCAACAGTGCTGAAAATGAAGATCTGTGTTGCTTTTATTGTAGTAGCTGTTCTTCACATCGCTCAGGCTGGTGAGTTTCTGTCTCTCATGCTCTGATGCATTAGTTTTCTCACAAAGTGCTTCAATGGCATAACTTTTTGCATAAAATAAAATAAATGAAAAAAGAGAAAATAAAATAAAAATGAATAAAATATGAAATTAAAATATGACATTAAATAATATAAAAATTTAATAAAATGTATCTTTAAACTACAATAGCTCATTGTACTTTGAAAGCATAAAGTATGCTTTGAATAAAATCAAATATAAAATGTAGATAAAATATGTTTGTTTGTTTGTTTTGCATGATTCTTATGGCGTTTCAATGGCATGACTTTTTGCATTAAATAAAATTAATTAAAAAAATAAAATAATAAATTACAATATGAAATAAAATGTATGTAAAATTAACAAAAATAATCAATTAAAATATATAAATATGAAATAAAAATATTTAATATAAAATAAAAATATGAAATAAAATTAAAAATATAAATAAAATATAAAATAAAAAGTTTCTTTGAACTACAATAGTTCATTATACTTTGAAAGCATGAAGTATACTTTGAATAAAATTATAAAATATAAAATAAAATATACAATTAAAACGGGATCATATAAAAAGGAATTCCTTTTTATCTTTAAAATACAAGAGTATTTTAGAATAATCATTGAGTTTCTGACATGTTAACATAAGCATTAACATAACTTTGTTTTATAGCCTTGGTTGCATAATTTCTCTTCTATTATTAATAGCCCTTTCTGTCTGTCATCCCTCTCTTATCTTCTGTTGCTTTACAGGCTGAATTGTGACATTGCTTGATGTACAGTATCAGAGATTAGCTAGCATGTGGCCATCCAAAATACCGACATCCTTTCAGTCTCATTTTAATCCTTCCGACAGAGAGAGACCGCATGACTAAGAGTCTTGTTACAGAATAAGTCTCTTGGATTTAGTTTGCCAAACCCACAGAAGCCCTTTGAGACTTTTTTTCCACTGCGTTTCATTGTAGTCCAGCAAACTCTAACTCAGTTTTAAGCCAAAACCCAACAGCACAATCCATATCACGCCCCTAAATGTGGTGCATTTCTGCTCCTTTCAACTTTGCTCAGCAAAGTAGTTTTACTGTAATTTAACAAACTGAAGTTGCTTTCAGACCTTGTAGTTGGAAATGTGATTTGCAATTATAAAAAAGCAGCACAGCCTTCCACATTAAAAGCCAAAATGGATGTATTCTACTGTATACGGTCATAATGGTTGCATGATTCATTACAATCACCTGAATCTGTGCGAAAACATGAATTTTTTTTTTGCATTTAGAGTGAGATCACTCTTTTGGGTTTGTGGTATTTCTAGCAATGCCTTTGAGCGAGTGGATTCCTCTGGGAAAATCTGCATTTGAACAGCTTTTTGTTGAGGACACAAAGCATGATGGCTTTTCACAATTTTGTTTTGCGGCATGGATTCTATATATTGTAAAGGCTGGCGATGAAATTAATGTATCACTTCAGGACAGCTAGTTAGTGGTCACATAAAAGCATGTGTTTGAAATAACAGGCTGCTGTGTTTTCTTTGATTGTGTCATTCTCTGAGAGCTGAACTCAGGATGAATGGGGTCATTTATTAAAGGCATGCTTTATCTTATAGTTGCTTTGTTGTTCTTTCATTGCCTGTCCCTAGTTAGCTACTCTTTCCTCTTTTATA